ACGACGTTGCGACGGTGTTTGGTTTTAGTTTTGAGTGCTACTGTAAAACTTTGACGACTTTACCCCTATACGCTCAGGAATTACTTTTTTGCTAGATTTGTTGCTGCTGTTGCTAGAGCTTTGAGACGAATAGTGGTGACCCTAAAGTATGGTAAATTCATATCTCTCGATATTTACGGACTCAGATTGGTCCGCTCTGGTATATTGGCTTATTTTAATTTAAATTTCAGTATTAGTGCGTCATCTTATGAGTGACACTAGAATTGTGGTTACTGTGTGATGTAACATTGCTTGTACTAGAAATTTAAGAATTATTTGTCATATTTAGTGTTGAATTTGACCGAAAGTTGGTAATTGATCTTGTGCTTTAATTGTCGTCTAGTTATTGTGTGAAACTGTATTGCATGTGAATTTAAATTTTTTGTTAACACACCTTCGTGTTACATTGATTATTCCGCTAGAACACTTGACTTGACCCATTTAAACATTCCATAGATCTAAGATCACAAATGTTACGAAACCTGTAAACTTAGAACGGATTATACTGCGGTCTTAGGATTACTTTGTGTGACCTATTTGCGCACTTTGGTTGTTTTATTTTTTCAAAATGTTTTCATACTTTGAAATTGAAATTTTCAATGGGAAAGGGGATTTTTTAATTTGGTAACAAAAGGTGAAAGGAAATATTGATTCGACAAAAAGTTTCAAAAGCCATAAACGGCAATTATTCTGCAAATTTTACAAAAGCACGAGAAGAAAAATATGACTAACTTGCTTACACTTCAATCATTTTATACCTATCTAACACTATTTTGAGAAAAGTTAAAAACTTAATTCTACGAAAGAACTTTGGCAAAGGTTGGAGAACTTATATTTACTTAAATCTACCCCTAATTAGTCGTACTTGTTTGAAAGATTTTTTAGTTTTAAAATGGATCGTTCAAAGGATCCTGATGACAATTTGGATATTTTCAGCAAGCTTGTTCAAGACATGTTAACTGTGACGCCATTATTTTGCTTAATTTAATTAAGTATAGTAAAGACCCATTAACACTTGAGATTGTCATGGATTTCCTTAAGAGTAAGGAGATGGAGATTTAGGCTGAAAAATAAGACAAGATGAGTGGTGCGTTACAAATGATGAAGAATCGAATGAAGTTTAAGCAAATAAATTTGGGTAGAGCTCAATACAGTATGATTCAAATGTGACTTGAGTAATGATAATGGTAAGAAGCAAGGCAAAGGACTTTCGTCTAGTGATAGACAGTATTATAGTTGTAGTAAAGCTAAACATTTTATTAGGGACTGTCTCAAGAAGGATAAGTAGAAAAGTAAGATGAGAGGTGGGGCGAATGTGATTATAAGATTGATTGATGACCCCAGTGAGATTTATTAAGAGTAAACATAGTTACTATATGTACATCTCTGTGTGTAATCCTTTTTACATGTGTGTCATCAAGGGCGAAACTAGGAAATTTGTTCAGTGCCGGCATAATTTAACACATGTTGAACATTGAATTTTGGTCATAAATTTAATGATGATAAAACTATTAAAAAAAAAACTAAAAATGACATAGTTTATAATTAAACGTGTTCCTTGCAAGTTTTCATATTTTGACAAGTGAAGTCCAAATCAACCTATACCTAAAATCAAGCAAAATCATGAAATATTGCTTTAATAAAAAATAAAAAATTTTGGGTCTAAAAATTCAGTGCGGGCATCCTCACATGGCTCCGCCCATGTGTGTCATTGCTTAATTCTGCCACATGATTATATGTTACATTTCAATGTGCTTAATATGTACATTTGCATGAACTTGAGAGTAATTTGATAACTTCATGTAATTGTTTGCATGCATAGTAGGTTGAGATGTATTAATAGTAAGTGTGTTGTGTATATATTGGTAAGGTAGAGTATAGATGCCAAGAGGTACATCAGTGGTTTGTACCGGGAATGTGGAGTATGATATTTAGATCAGGAGTAGGGAGGTGATTAAATGTTGAAATCATTTATTTGTAAAGACCCTGATCAGGTGAAGTGTGAAAGAGGAGCTTCTATTTCTTTTGGTAGGTAGAGACCTATTATCCACTTAAGTTGGAAAAAGTGATGTGGTGATAGAGGATTATTCCGAGAACTTAGAATCTGTTTGATTTACTAGTTAGACATAAATTGAATGATCTATCTAGTGTGTATAGTGGGCGATGAGGGGAAATATGTGCTCTTGAGGTGTGAGGAACATAGAATTGGATAGAATAAGTGTAGTAAGATTTTTTCGTGGGGTCATTTATGCATTTGTTGCATACGTGTTGGCCGCCTGTTGATTAATTTGGTATTAATATGTTCAGTGTAAATGTATTTTTGATAAGATTTGTGAGTTATCCTATGTTATATCTTCATCATATGATTATTTGCTCTTGATAGTTCACTGTGATTATCTGCTTCTACTTAAATATTTTGTTTGTGAACTTATGGTATCGTAAGTGTTTCGGATCCGAAACACGAGTTAAGTTTTGTGATTCCAATTTTATTGGTTACCTTGATCATTTACGTACTAATTGAGTATTTTGATTGCTTACAGGTTTATTGAACATCGAGGTAGATATTTGTTAGATTTTGATGCCAAATAAATCTTTGAGTGATGATGTTAGATGGTTTGAACTAAGTTTCATAGGTTTCAACCGATAAGTGAAATTATTATCAACACATCAATCAATTGGCTCAACCCAAAAAATAACCTGGGGATCGTTGGAAGCAACTTAATTAAGTTAATGTTACTTACGACCCATTTACTTCTTGGATGACTCTCTTTTATGTTCCGACCCCTTTACTTATTTGCTGGTCCGTGAGCCTACTATTATAGCCCACTTAAATAACACCCTAAATCTATATATGGCTGCATTGTTGAAAGAAGCCCTGTGTGTGTGCGCAATAAGAAAAGAGGCAGCCGTCCTCCTCTGATTTTTTCTCTCTCCGAGTTGGAAATCGAAATCTGTGTTCCTCTCTTCTTGGTTACATATTGCAGCCACCCTATTGTATTCTTTGTGGACACATACAGTTGAACAACCAAAGTAAAACATAATTGTGGATTGAAATCGATTGTTTGATTGTGGTTGATGTTGGTAAGTTAAAATTGGCCCAGGAATCCATTAATTGAAAATCAATTTCACTACACTTGTAATAGAAATATCATGGTCAGAGAAAAACAACCATCACCGGATTTCTCTCTCTTATTTGCTAAGCCTGTATTTTAACATCTTCAATGGAGCAAAGGCTTTCCATTTCCCACTTAAAATTTAAGCTCGGTGGCGAAGTTAGAATTTTTAGGTGGTGGTGGTTGGTGGTTTTTGTTTGTGTCTGTGTGTGTGTGTTGGGGAGGGGGAAGGGGGTTTGAAGACTGAACTAAACAGCTAAATCAAGGGCTAAGGCTCTCAAGTCTGTCATGGTTTCTACAAATTGGTCTAAGCTGCCTAATTACTTTCAATTTTTGGAAAGTTCATTATTCTGTATCCTGTCTACTTCTCTGCTTCAGATTTACATCTTCTAACGGTTCCAATGATTCAATTCAAACAAACTGGCCAAAAAGGCATGACTAGATTTGTCAAAAATACCAAGAAAAATTTTTCCAAATAATTTTCCTGCATCATATTCAGCAATTCTGTATTCCACTTTCTACTGAAATTTAATTTATAAGAAGCCGACTGTGAACTAAAACTGGTTTGCATAGAGATTAGCTCTAACAATCAACTCCAAAACAAAGAGGGCCACGAGGAAAAATAAAAGAAAAATTATTCAGCTAGTCATTTTATTTTTTTGCCAAAATGAAATTAGTCTAACGCCAAAAATTTTATCAAGTATGCCCATTCAGTTATGCAAAAAGACTCTAGTGCCATTTTATTAAAACGCCCTCCAGGTAATCTAGGCAAATTCAAGATTGCCTAGTTTGACGAGAATGCCTAGATGGTTTGAAATTCATGCAAAAAGGGAGGGAGAGAATTTCATAACACTTTTGAAGAGAGAATGGTATATTTGCTAAAAAAAACTCAAGAACGGACATTATTTACAAACCCATAAGTTTACGAAACTTATTTTCTGCTCTAAAAGTGCCTATGAGGGAAATTTCCGCAAAAGTAAATCTGTCTCCAGGCTATACTTCAAACAAAAGAAGTCAGAAACCGCCACCAACAGAATCCCCAGGGTCCGGGGGGCCAAAAATTGGAAGTTGTTTTTAAGAAAGGCAGACATAACCAGCATTAGAATGTCTATTGAGTAGTTCAATTTACTATAAAAGCGAGTCTTTTAGAAATATGATGAAATAATATAGTGACACCAATAAATTTTGGAACCAAAGTAGAACTCCCAGAGTACAATAAGCATTAAGTAAAGATGTCGCTAGGTAGTGACTGAACAACAGCAGAGAAACAACGGAACATTAAACCTTAACCATGGTATAGAACTTCCAACTCTCGCAAGAGGCTCTGGCACAACAAATAGACTTGACCAAGAGGAAATCAAGCAACTTATGTCCTAGCATACCACCTAAAATGGTGAGAGAATAACCGAATAAGCTTTAACAAACAAATAGTAGAAGAGATTGAAAGAACAAATGGATATTGAGAAGATCCAGGTGAAAACTAGAGATTTAGAAATTGTGATTTGAGGACTAAAAATCTTCAGTGATATTTTAGTTGGATTAAAATGAGCGATTTACAAGCTCTACATATATAGGAATCCAAAACCTATCCTAACAAGGAAAGCTTTAAGTCAAAAACCTAATATAACTAGGAAAACTTCGATCACTATGAAAACAATCTCAATTCTAGTTGGAAACCTACAGAAGTACTAAATTAGGTGTGCAAATAAAGCTTAAAAGAAAGTCTTCCAGCCCCATTCCACCCTTCAGCAGTGCAATTCCGAGTTAGTTAAACAACACTAATTAAAACAAGGAAAGAGATACTAAAGGAGTAGCATTCAGAGAGTAGGAAAAACAATGAGGCAGCACTAAAGCAATGTTCCAAATATCAGATAACAGTTACAGTAGTAAAAATAATAGTACATTATCATTTCCACTAGGATAACAAGATTAACAAATTACTACAAAGTTAAGAAGCAGAGAAAAGAAATTCATAGACAGGTTTATTCACAATGTACAATGTTATTAATGCTGATGGGCATGCCAAAGAAAAATGTGAAGTCGACATGGAACTAAAATTTTGATCTACGTCGAGGTAAAGTATAAAGGGCAGGACCAAATTGAAACTGTGGATGAAGGTCAAAGCTTAAACTCAAAAAATACTTCCAGACTAATGACAGCTCAACCCCCATTAGCATGCTTCTTTCCCACGGACTTCATATCCAACTTCTCAACATTCTTTAAATTGCATTCTCATCACAACATCAAATAACATTCTCAGAGTAGATAATAATTTGATACACATCATAGAAAGACTTGACGGGTAATGGAGAATGCCTTCAATAAAATTCTTGATGGCCATGCATTATTTAACTCTTAACAAGTCTATTGAGGAAAATACTCTTGATCTCCTTGACAAACTCCAAGTCTATTGCAACATCTTTATGCAATATGCCCGAAAAATAATACAAAAAAGTAGCTGCAAATAGATAGATAACCAAACGTTTGAATAAACTAGTGATTTTCATAAGCAGAAGAACAAAATGGAACTTATTGCATCACCTTCTACTATAAAGTTTATTATGCATTCCCAAGATGAGAGACGCATTGTCTCGACTTTTATTATGTCATTAAATAAATATACATATGTCAGAATTAATAATTTAATACATGAATTTCTTAAGTGAAAGGAGAAAAAAATAAAAACCTCTATTGATTTATGACTTCACTGAGGATCAACTTCAGATGGTGTCTTTGCCACAATCGACAATGCATGTAGTCCATTCTGCAGTTCATCTTGCAACAAGCTGTAAATAAATCTATGCCTCTTAACCAAGCTTTTGCCTTCAAATTCTTCAGAAACCACTTTCACATTAAAATGCGTCTCCCCATTGCTTCCCTTAACCCCAGCATGACCCGCATGCTGGTATGATATATCCTCAACTTCCAATTCAATAGGTCTCAGCTCTTTCTCCAACCTCTCCTTTATCCGCGTCCCTCTATTCCCTAATTCACTACCATTACCCACACTAGACTCCAAAGCACTGGGACTTTCTTTAACATTTGATTTACCAATTCCGCCATCATTCTTCAACCTCAAATCTGAATTCCCAACCTGGTTATCTTCTGCTAAGTCATTGATTGAATTACCACCCTTTTCACTTTCCACATACAATTGCAGAGCCTTCTTCTGCATCAACTTCAACATATTCAAAAACCCATTATTCCTAGACGGAGTCAAACTCTGCTGCAACCCAAGAAGCACCGCAAAATCAGGTGAAACCCTCAGTATCTCTTCCACGGGCCGGCCAGAAAGACCCTGGACTAGCAAAGCAGCCAGCCCTTTAGTGAGCACTGAATCAGAATCTGCCTCAAAGATCACATTTTTATCACTGTCAAGATATGCTCTGACCCACACCTGCGAAACACAACCCTGCACTTTATTTTCAATTGTTTTATATTGAGTTTCTAATGGCTTCAAATTTCTTCCATAGAACAATAACTGTTCATACTTGGCCTTTGGCTCTTGAACTGCCTGGAACAGTTTGATAATCTCTTGAAGCTTTGGAGGCAACTCTTCAATGGGCTGGACAGAAACTGAAGGGGAAGATGAAGATGGGGTCGATAAAATGGATTCTTTCGTGGGTATTCTTTGAAATGTAATTGACTTGGAGAAAAAGAAAAATGTTGAGGGTGAAGAGGGTAAAGATGGGATTTTTATGGATTTCAAGAATTGATTCCTGGAACGATAAAAAAGGAGAGAGTGTGGGATTTTAGTAGAAATCGACATGGGTTTTGGATGTCCGATTAAGAACTGTGTTAAATTCTTAGATGAGTCTTTTGAGCTGTGATTATGTAGAGAACGGGTGAAGAGTTGAAAGAGGAGAGGGGCGACGGGTGATGATGGAATTCTTCTCTCTGCTATCATGTCCAGGGAATAGATAATAGGGACGCAAGCGCAACCACAAATTTATGAGAATATGACAAAAATTATTTGTCAAATTCAACTTTTATAAGAGTCCGTTGATAGTAATTACAAGAATTGATTTTTTTATAATGGATCCCAAAAAGTCAAAAATTATGATTGAAAAATTAATTTTTTGATATGAAAAATTGCTAACAAACGAGAGCTCAACTTCTAGGGCAACAAGGTTCTATAACTTTAAGTTGGGACTGTATAAAGAAAGAACGACGCAACAGCACTGGCTTAGGGGTTATTGAAGGAAAGAGTTGTTTTGTTTGCTTGGAAAAATAAAAACAATTTAAACAAAAACGCAGAGGACTAAGAACAAACATTGTATTTGTAGGGAAATTGGATAGAACTTTTCATAAAAAAAAACAAAAAATGTATACACCTAAAAATTTAAATATAATTACAAAAGAGCATAAAAAAACAAGAGAAACATTATCTAGAGCCTAGAGGTCGACAACTTACATACCTGTTTCATGTTAGGGCATCTTTAGCCCTGAACCAAAATTTTGTATCATTTTGTATTAAATTTTACATCAAATTAAAATTTATCTCCAATCATTACACCAAATGAATAATGTTTAACAATTTTTTTCTCTTTTTTTATTCTTTAAATTAAGGAAAAGATTAAATTCATTAATAAATGTGAAAAAACATAGGACAATTAGTAAAAAAATACGAAAATGAAAATATTTAAATAATTGTGTTTGTTATATTTTAATTTTTTTATTTTTTTGTATTCTTATTTTGATTAATGTATTAATTTTTATTTTTTACATTTAAAATTTATTTTAAATGCAAATAATAATAATAATAATTTATTGTATTAAAAATACATAACACAAATTACACAAATACTCTCAACCAATTTATTTGGAAAATGAAAATAAAGGGTAAAATTAATTTTGGACAATTTGATGCAAAATTGTGTAAAGTGAATAGTGGTATGCAACACTACTCACTTTGCTTCAAATATGGTGCAACACTATTCACTTTACATTATTTTTTGTGCAACATTATTCACTTTGCGCCATTTTATATTTGCACCATTTTTTATACAACAATATTCATTTTGCACTATTTTGCACCAAAATGATGTACAATTTGGTGTTGCATTGGAGCAATTTTGCACCATTTTTTCGTGCAATTTAGTGTCTTCATTAGGCCATCTCTAATGAGTTCCCTATTGCACCAAAATTTAGTGCAAATTCCCTCCAACCATTGCACCATTTTGGTGCAAAATGATGTAGCATGAGCAGTGTTGCATAACATTGTTCATTGCACCATTTTTTAAACCAAATGGTGCAATATCCGTTTTATCATTCTTTTTTATTTTTCAAAGATAATGTTAAGGGTATTTGTGTCATTTTTGTTCTATAATGATGATGATGATGATAATTAATTACATTATTATTATTTATTATTTTTTAATAATATAATCAATAATAATTAAGAATTTTTTAATTTAGTAATTGTTTTTGTATATTAACATAATTGTTTATAATAAATTAATAATATAATCAATTATTTTCATCAGTTTAACATAATATATAAAACATGCGAATAATTTAGTAATCAATAATAATTCAATATATTTGTTAATTTAATGTAGTTATGATTTAGTAATTTATATAGTTATAAAATAAATAAATAAATAATTTTTTTAAATAAATACATTGTCAAAAATTGAAAGAATGAATAAAAGCCTACACTTAACAAGGGAGCCACTTTGCCATAGCATATTAAGCCCGCATAATATATATGAAAGTATCATATCAAGGGAAAATAATTTTTTGCATGATTTTAACACTCCTACAATTCAATTATTTTAATAATACCTTACTTTTCGTTTTTCGATATGTAATAAATTCTACATAATTATTGTCATTTTATGAAATTTTTGTTATTAATTCTCAATTAATTAACATTCACATTAATCTAAATTTAATGAATTTTCACTTGATGAATCTTAAATTATATGAATCTAGAGTTATTATTGATGAATTTATTCATATTCATGTATTTAAAAATTTTAACGAATGTTTAAATCTATATTTTAGCAATTAATTTTTATGTATCAAATGTAATATAAAAAAATTGCTCATTTATACTATTTCATCATTACAAAAATTTGAATAATAGAATAAATACTACATAATTATTGACATTTATGAAATTTGTGTTATTAATTCTCAATTAATTAACATTCACATTAATCTAGATTCAATGAATTTTCACTTAATAAATCATGAATTATATGAATCTAGAGTTATTATAGATGAATTTATTCATATTCATGTATCTAGAAATCTTAATGAGTATTTAAATTTATGTATTAACAATTAAATTTTATGTATCAAATATAATATAAAAGATTGCGCATTTATAGTATTTCATCATTACAAAAAATTTGAATAATAGAATAAATACTACATAATTATTGTCGTTTGTGCAATTTGTATTATTAATTCTCAATTAATTAACATTCACATTAATTTAGATTCAATGAATTTTCACTTGATGAATTTTGAATTATATGAATTTAGAGTCATTATGGATGAATTTATTCATATTCATGTATCTATAAATTTTAATGAGTATTTAAATTTATATAATAACAATTAATTTTTATGTATCAAATGTAATATAAAAAGATTGCTCATTTGTAGTATTTCATCATTACCAAAAATTTGAATAATAGAATAAATACTACATAATTATCTTCGTTTATAAAATTTGTGTTATTAATTCTCAATTAATTAATATTCACATCAATCTAGATTCAATGAGTTTTTACTTGATGAATCTTAAGTTATTATAGATGAATTTATTCATATTTATGTATCTATAAGTTTTAATGGGCGTTTAAATTTATGTATTAACAAATAATTTTTATGTATCAAATGTAATACTCTTTCCGTTCCAATTATATAGGTTTGTTTCATTTTCACACGAATTAAGAAATCTTCTTTAATGTCATTGGAAAATTAATTTTTATCAAAACCTTTCCTAGTTTACCCCTATTTTATTTTCAGTATGTAATAGTAAATTATTGTTGAAATTAGTAAAGAATTTGAATAATTTAATTTGAAGAATAGGAAATGAGTGTTGTTCCATGCTTCTAAGAAGTGGAAAATGTATATATTTGGATGAAATCAAGAAGTTGGCATATTAAGTGGAAAAAATTGAATAAGAATATATTGGTAAAGGAACAAAACAAAATATTCTAAATAAGAAAATGGGCCTATATATTTGGGACAAGAGAAAAATGAAACTCAACCTATATAATTGGGACGGAGAGAGTATAAAAATATTACTCATTTATAGTATTTTATCATTACAAAAAAATTAAATCATAGAAATTGAGTTTTGAGAGTACAATTTGAGTACAATTTTATTCTCTTAAATTTTTATGCTAAATTTGATTTTTTTAATTCATAAAATCCTCCAACAAATTGGTACCAAATATTATTTTCACATCACTTATAAAATATATTGAATAACGTGTAATGCACGTTCAATTTTGACTAGTATGTTGAAGTGAGTCAAACATGAAAGCGAAATGACTCTAATTTCTTCGAACTATTGATATTTCTAGTTAGTTTTCCCCACTTCAGGTGGAATTAAAATGTGTTGAAATAAAAGACTAATGCCCATATTAGATAATATTTTCAGAAAAGTGTATTTTGTCTAAAAACATTTAATAACTAGAATGACTTGTTATTTTTAAGTCTTGAGTCTTGTAATAGTGTAGACAGGTTTTTCTTAATTTTTTATTGGTGCGTATACATCATTTGTTCATGTTTTTCATGCTTTCGCACTTTTTATATTTTCTAGGGAGGTGTCAAGATTTTTTGTTTGGCAAGAAAAGTTACGAGAATTTAGTGACACATCTTAAGAATTGATATGTTTATACTTACTTGAGTATTTACTTGAGTGTTTGACTCACTTCGTCATCAATGTCGTAAGTTTAGTTTTTTAAACTATATTTAGTGTGGCATGGAGCATCTCTCATGACGTGAGTTCATTGGTTTTATTTTATTTTATTTTTTTTAATTTCTTCCCACCTCAACATCTTTTCCTGACTCCATCCCTGCATAAATATAAACATAGATGGAGATAAGCAATAGTAAAGTTGAATAGAATTATTTTAGATTAAACTTTAATTACTAGCAGATAGTTGTAATTAGCCTTTGTGAATCATAAATAGACCAAATTCGGGAACCTCCAACTTGGAGGTTACAAGATATTATAATACACATTTGAAATGTATTTAACATAATCACTAGAAATATGGGAATCCAATGTTCCAAATTGCAACTCGACTTTCCCATTTTGTTTTATATAAAAAATATCAATTTACACTTTAGTGATGGTCCCATAACTATCCCACCAACGACTAAGTCTTATTAGTTGATTACTAATTTGTTAGTCTTAACTATAATATTCGTATTATCGATCATGATCTAATCCTGCTCACATCCATGATCGGACAGAAGATTTAAATCGTCTAACATATTGAAAATATGATTGATCAACGAATTCCGAAAGAACTAAAGGTACATCTTTTTTTTCTTTTTTCTTTTTTCATTCAAGAATTCTTATATGTTTTCACGACCTTTGAGACCCCCAAAAATGGACAAATTCATTTTTATGAGAACACATACAAGATTTGACACGAGTAAGAAATATACCGTATACTTTTTCGAGACAACATTTTATGAAATTTGCCAACTATTAGTGTACCAAATATGTTATTGTTTCGCGCGGGTTAATTCGCTAACAATTAAAGAGGATCAGACGATTGTGTAAGGGACGAAACCTCTTGAGACAAAGCCCCAAAAAGGGGTGTTCTTTTTATTGGCGATGAACTTTACAATTGGAAACGGAAAACAACGTGCCTCCAAGGGGCGCAAGCACACGAGTTACAGAAAAGGAAATGTTTAAGTCTAAAAACTAAAGGAATGAAAATTACATATTCTCTGTTCGAGAGTTTTGGATTCGGTCCTTGCTTCTAAGTTCTTTCTCCCTTTTATACTTCATAGGCGATCCCTTTGTGATTAACTGCTCTAAAAAACTGCTTGATCGCCCAATAACTACCCACTTTCTTTGTAATGGCCACTTTGTCATGCAACTGTCTTTTAACTGCTGCCATTATCTTGCATCGTTCAACCGCTTTCGATTGAACCCCTTGAGTCGTGGAACGTGATGAAATTACTTTAGCAACTGCCTCAATAACTGCATCATAATGCGTTATGTTTGTTAATACCTTGGGCGACTTGAAGATTTGGGCGAGACTTTGGACGACCGTATGCCACTCTATTCGTTCAGACTCTGAGCGACTTGCAAACTTGGGCGATGGCGTTACCGCACTATTGGGCCCCTTATTTGGGCATTCACCTTGATTCGTTCAATTGGATTTCGTTCTTTGGGCTATCTGATTTGGGGACCCTCCAATTGGACTTTATTCTCTGGGCTGTTCGATTTGGGCTGAATTTTTATGTGTCAACAATTACCCCCAATGTGGCAGAATTAATAATAACTATTGAATTTTGCCATATTCACTTCACGTCTTCAGCAACGTTCACGATCCCCAAAGAATTTTAATCATTGTCTCCTTCTATAACTTGAAAAGGTGCGTCGCTTTGCAAACCCTTATAAACTCCGAACACGCCATTTTACTGCTACGAAATCACGTTTCATATTTCTTACGCATCCTTCGCGATTCACTGTTCATATTTTGCTTCCTTGTTACGTAACTCTGAAAAGCTTCGTTCCTTCTTCAATGGCTGCTTTACAATCCCAAGCTAGCGATTCCTTTAGTTTTGACAACTTTCAGGAACTTCTGAGTCGTTCATACGTAACCCCAAGTTTTCTTGCGCCCGCTGATGTTGGACGTAATGAGTTTTACTTGGGTCCTTTCTTCAACAATGCGGAAGCAATCGATCGGGCGGCGGTGGGCCAGTTGTTTCCTTGCACCCATGGCCCTCCTTTTCTGAATTCTTTGCCGCTGGGGCCACTTCGTGAAAAATGTATTCGCACTTGGCCCAAATCTGACGTAGCTTTTCGTAGGTGGCATGCTCGTCTTGTGGGTCATGGTCCTACTAAGGCACTTTTTGATAGCGCTAGGATTTCTGATTTGTTGGAAATCTCTATTTGCCCTCCTACTTTTGATTCAGCGCTCTTTCCGATTGTTTTGAGCTTTTGGTCCTCTGAGTATAACACCTTTATTTTTCCTCTTGGCCCCATGTCTATTACGTTAAGGGATGTTGGGGCTCTGGTAAATTTACCACCTTTGGGTGATACCGTTTTCCCAGGCATCTTAGTTTCTGGTGGCGCCCCTCAGTTTGGTAAAAACTATACCGATTCTTATTCAAGCCTGCAGACACTGCACAATCACTCGAGTGCTGAACCTACTCATGCTGAGCGAGTTGCCTTCCTTTTACTCTGGCTTTGTAAATATGTGTTGTGCGTGCCTAGTATAAAGCCCTCTCTGAGTTATCTACCTATAGCGCATGAACTGGCGCGTGGCAGGCCTTTGAATTTATGTTCTTTGTTTTTGGCTGCCCTTTATAGAGGTATGGCTTTTCTTCAGGCTCAATTGAAGAATGGTGCATCTCCTACTGGCAGTGGACCTCTTTGGTTCACTCAACTGTGGTTGAGATCCTATTTTCCATCGCTTGGTGCCCCATCCATTTCTTGTCCTTCTGCTAGTTGTTACGGGCTAGCTATGGAGCCTTTAACTCCCGTAAGTATGTCCAAAAGGGATATTTTTTTATTCTTTTATTCTTTAAATTCAATCTCTTCCTTCTTTCCTTTCCCTCCTTTTTTGACTCCGAACTATGTACATCCTCCTTCCACTCTAGATAGCGCGAGCACTTCTCTGCTCATTTGGATTCAGTTCTTAACTGGGAGGGAGCTTTTCCACGATATCTTAATCGGGACCAATGCCAAAGCTGGGGTAGAAATTTATGTTCCCCAATTTTTTGCTCGGCAGCTTGGTTTCGGCCAAACTTGGCCTGTTCCTCTTTGCTATTCGAAGAACTTAAACGACCGCTTTCATACCATTAATAAGGTGGAAGCAGAGGCTATAAACGTTCGCAACCTCCACTTATCAAGCCATTTTTCATTAGCCCCTTTTAATCCTTGTCATGCTACTCATCCTCTTTTCGAACAACTTTGGCCATCGGTGAAGCGCAGATTATTTGCGACTGAGGCCAACCGTGCCTTTCATTCATTAGATCAACCGAGTATTTCTTCTCCTCCTCCTGTTTTGGCCTCTCCTTTGTCTATTCGGAACCCTTCTCCTTCTCGTCGTACTAAACAATCTGCTCGTCCATCTTCTTCCCTCCCTGCTAAGCCAACTATGGCCAAGAGTGTTCCAAGCCGCAAACGACCAGCTTCAGCATCTCCCATTCTGGAGGATGATGTTGATGATGATGATGATGATATCCCTCTTATCGTTAAAAGGAAGGTATTTAAATTGGTCTATTTACAAGTATGCTCTTCCCCATCTGAAAATTTTTTTGTGTACTGATGATCTTTTGGACTTTTCAGAAAAGCTCAGCTTCCCCTTCAAAGCCTTTGGCATTACCAACTCCTGTTCCATCATCCCTTGTTGAGGCTACTTCATCCAAACCGGTTGATGATGGGATCATGCTTAAAGGTATATCTTCAGTCCCAGATTCTTCATCACAACTCATGAATGAGCCACCTTCCTCCCAGGGCGTCTACCCCCCAATCACCGAAGCAGAAGGTAGTTCAGTTTTTGATGTCTTACCTTTGCTCGTGCTATTGGTTTCTGACTGGTTGCTCTTTGAACTTTGTAGATACTCCCATGAGTCCGCCCGTTGTGGCAACGTCTTCTCGCTCGGACAAGGGGAAATCCTCACAAATGGACGAGTCATTGGTGGCCAGCTTGGCTGAGGGTGCACCATCTTCTACGATCGTCGACGAGGTAGTTTTTCTCTTTGCCCCATTCCTATTTCCAACTTATTCGTTGCAACGAATATTTTTAATGTTGGCAATCTTCTTTGCAGGATGCTGACAGGATTGTTCGTTCTATCCAGGATTTGTTCGCTTCCTGGGGGCAGGTCCAAATGCCTCGCCCTACTCCATCTGATCGTCCTGCTGCTTCTTCAGAAGAGGACTTAAAGTTCTTGAAGGAGTTGGTATTTGAGTACGTGTCCTTCATGGACATGGACATCGGAAGAGCTAGTGTTGCCAGACACAAGGATGAACTTGAACGCTTGAGTGCGAAATTAGAGCAAGCACTGACGCTTCCGTCGCTCAATCTTTCTGCCGACTTTAAAGCGACGTTGAAGGTCATTCACTC